AAATGCATGCCACTGAATTTGTGTCTCTAGTCAACCTGGCCTAACACACCTGACAACATGTCCAAAGTATATGAGAGGCAGTCACGTCATCCTTGCCTCTAAGGAGCATTCTGGCTGTACTTCCTCCAAGTTCTTTGTTTTTTTGGCAGTCAGTGGGACTTTCAATATTCTTCACCAGCACTTGAACCTTAAGCTCTTTTCAGATCTATCTAGATCGGCCTTAAAATCACAAGAGCAACCCAAAAGATAAGATAGGGGCCTTTGAGGACAGTGAATGTGTGCTACTGGGAAAGGAACCACTCAAAATGAAAGGTCACAATGACCGCCCCTCTCAGTGAGCTGCCAATGGATAGAGGGCTTTGCTGTGCACATTCTCTACCACAATAGCAACATCCATACCATTTAGGGGGGCCGTGAACTGAGGGCAAAGAAAACCCAACAGAAGTGTTCAAGAAGTATGAATGACAACACACCTGCTCACGCCCCACCCACCACACACTTGGGGTTACAAGGAGTCCATCTGGAGATGTCTAGAAACCCAGATCCCAAATACTCAATCCAGCCTCGCCGCCTCCAATGGCTTAAGTTAACCCCAAAAGGCCCCAAAGAAGACTGGGAGCTAGCAGAAATACTCCCAGGGATCTGGCCGGCGACAGGAACGTGTGGAGAAGGTCAACCGTGACACACAAGGAAGAAGAGGGGGCAGTCACTGCTCAGTTACATCCAGCTCCTACCCCGTGGGAGGGTGGGAACAGTGTGGCTGGGCCCGCTCATAAAAAACAAACAAACAGAAATCGGGACTTGTAGGCCAAGTCTCCCAATGTTAGGGCACTGCGTAGATTAAGCTCCGTGTCCTTAGTGCAGAGCCCACAGCAGGTGATCCACACACAAAGGGCTTTTCCACCACGGGGCCTCTGTCATTAATTTGCCTCAAGCTGATGACGCCACCTTGAGGCCAATCTTTGGCCCAGAGCAAGAGGCCCAAAGGCAAGCCCAGTGAGTAGACCATTCCTCCATCACCCAACCTCCTCTCAGTCCAGGCGGTGAGGGTGACGGGAAGAGAAAGCAGGGAAATGAGGAGGGCTGGGGTGAGGGGGGGTTCTCAAAAAGTCTACAGGCCTTTGGCCCTAATCCATCTCTTTTAGGCATTTTTCAGACAAAGAAGCCCACTACCAGCATACTGCAGGACAAAATTGCTCTCAGCAAGATACCATTTTATTCTTTGAAATGTGAGAAAGGTGCCCTGACGGCATAATGGTTATGCATAGGGCTACGAAGCTCAAAGTCAGCAGTTCGAAACCACCAGCCACTCCATGGGAGAAAGGGGAGGCTCTCTACCTCTGTTAAGAGTTATGGTCTCAAAACCCACAGGGGAAATTCTACCCTGTCCTACTGGGTCATGATGAGTTGGAATTGACTTGATAGCAGTGAGGTAAGTTTTTGTTTTGTTTTGGCTTTTTTGTTTGTTTTGTTTTTAATTGTTGTTGTTTTTGAGGAGGCTAGAAAGATGCCCTAGTGGCGTAGTGGGTTACAAGTTGGACTGCCAATCGCAAGGTTAACAGTTCAAAACCACCAGTCACTGCCAGGGAGCAAGGTGGGGCGGTCTGCTCGGGGGAGATTTACAGGCTCAGAAACCTGCAGCGGCAGTGCTACTCTTGTCCACGGGATGACTATGAATCAGAAGCAACCGGACGGACGGCAGTGGGTGTGGGTCTTGAGGATGGCTAGAATAAAAACGAAATCACAAGTCTCGGTGAGGATGTGGGCAAATGAAAGTCCTCTTAGTCGGTGGGGCTGTAAAATGGTGCAGACACTTGACCTAGCCATTTTCCCTCTAAATATGTTCCCCAAAGAATTGAAAACATGTGCCCACACAAAACTTTGTCCAGCATGTTGGAACTCATTATTCAAAACAGTCAAACAGTAGAAAGAGCTTACGTGGTCCGTGTTCAAACACTGATGAATGGATACACAAGACTTGAGACACATCCACCTGTGACACCGAATTGCATTCAGGAACAAAAAGAAATTAAGTACAGATGCATACTATGCTTGATATCACTATACAAAGGGAGAGAACCCTTCACAAAAGACCACGTGTTCCATGATTCCATTTAGGAGCAAGGTCCCAAACAGGCAAACTTACCGAGGCAGACAGTTGATTCGTGGTTGCCTAGGGCTTGGGCGATTGAATGGGGGGCATTGAGAGGGGATAGCTCATGAGTACAGGGTTTCTTTCCAGGGTGTTCTAACACAGGCTGCAGGGATGGTTGCCCAACTGGGACTATACAAGAAACAAAAACCAGACTGACTGCCATCCCATGGATTCCAGCTCCTAGTGACCTCCCCGTAGGACAGGGTGGAACTTCCCCTCTGGGTTTCCCAGATGGTAAGTAACTCATTATGGGGTAGAAAGCCTCATCTTTCTCCCATGAAGCGGCTGGTGGTTTCCATCTGTGAGGGGAGGGTAGCAGGCCAACAAGTAACCACTGGTAGTGAACATACTAGACTAGAATCCCTCAAGTTGTGTAGCACATAAATTATATATCAATAAAGACAATTACCAAAAAATGAAGAAAACATACCTGCCTTTAATTAACTTCTGTAAAAACACTCCCCTTTCTTGGCATCAGCCTTACTTGGAAAGAACAGATAGAATTCCCTCTAAGGCTCAGGGCTCAAACTAGTGGGACCAACTGGCCTGGCTTGCCCAGCACTCTGTCGGAGTCAACACCGAAAGTCCCTTGTCCCTGGAAACTCCTTGTCTCTGGGCAAACTGGGATGGTCAGTCATCTTAGGTTGCAAACCCCTTTTCACAGCTCTGGGATGCTTTGTCCTTGAGTGCTGTGAATGGTTGGAATTTACATGCTGGGTCAGTAGTGCCTTCCCTCCCTTTTAGGTATAAGTCGCTCTTGAGCTTCCCCTCAAGGTCAAAAGTAGTATTATGACTGCTGTCATATGATTGTTGCCATGTATTGCCCTGAAATTCAGAGAGATGAAGTAACTTATCAGGAGCACACAGGACCTGTACCTGGATCTGTTCCAAAGCCCAAGATGCCTCTTGCACTAACCAAGTTGCCCCTACCATACCACTGGATCCATTGTCCAGACACACCCTTAGTTTGTTCTTGCCCTCTGGGCCCAAACAGAAGACCAATGAGCTTTGAGTTGTGCAAGACTAGGAGACAGGACAGCTTGGCAGCTAACAACAAAGACTCCGGAACGGAACAGCCTTGGTGTGAATCTGGGCTCTGGCACTCACGAACTGTGTGGTACCTGGCAAGGTACTTAACCACTGGGTCCTGGTATCTCCATCTGTAAAATGCGAATAACAAAAGTGCTCTCTCTCGCTCTCTCTCTGACCTAGGACTGTTATGAGAAATACAACAGATCCGTAAGCTTGAGAGGTTTAGAATAGTCTGGTATACAGAAAATGCTACCAAGAGTTTGAGGAATAAATGGACGTAAGCACAAATCCAAATACTCCATTGGAAAGAAATCCGATCGGCCAGGCAGTGGTGGGTCCACATGACAAAAACGAAGTCTATCCTTCTGCTCCGTCCAATCTCATGGAAACATTTGAGGTTTAGGAATTACTGGAAGTTCCCAGAGCATTATCGACAAGCTGCAAATGCGATATGGCAAGTGGCGATCTGGGCAGCCCCCACCACCGTGGGATGATGTAATGGGTGGTTGCAGACCTGCCCGGGCCCTGCCCCACCACCCTACTCAGAACAGGCTGGAGACCAGGGGACTCGCTTCATATCACACCTGTCCACAGGACCAGGAGAATTGGATATCCTGCCAGTAGGGCAGCACCTGCCACTCAGCTCTACTCTCTGAAGTCGGTGGGATGCCACCATTTTACAGATGTGAAAACTGAGGCTCAGAGACAGTCAAAGATTTATACAACGTATAAAACTGGTAAGTAAGGTATTAAATTGGAATCCATATTTGGTTTGAATTTTAAAGTCAGTAAGCTTTGCTGCCCTCCTGTATTTATTATTGCTGTGTAACAAATCACCTGAAATTCGGTGACTTAAAACAACACACATAGATCCTTCTACAACATTATTACAGGTCAGACATCTAGGGCCCACTTCACTGGGTAGTTGTGGCCAAGCTGGTGTAGGGCTAGTCATCATACTGGATGGAACATCCCCTTCTACATTCAGTTGTAAACTTGCCTGCAGGCCAAATTCCTTGCTGGCAGTTGGCTGGAGGCTTTAGTTCCAGACCACATACACCTCTCGGTAGGGCTTCTCACAAGGCATCTTGCTTTTCCAGAGCAAGATTCAAGAGAGGACAGACAGACAAGAGTGCAATCTCTTACAGCCTAATCTCAGAAGTGACCTGCAGTTCATCCTGTTTTTCTGGGCCTAGAGGGCAGCCCACAACATAAGGGGCAAATGCAGGGTGACTGAGCAAGCCGAGGAGCACACATCCGTGGTGGTTTAACAGTGTCTGGGATGTCAACTTTGGACATTTTCCCCTAAACTTGAATTTATCAGAACCCGTTTTTGTGACAGGTTTTGCTAAAGAAACGGAGGTGGGAAGGGATGGAAGGGTCGTCATGGAAGGGTAGGGAGAGGCTGGGGGGTTGGGAGGCTGGGGATCAGGGTGATTCCATAAGTTTACCAGTTCAATGTGGTTTGAGGCAGGGCAAATCCGTGCAGCCTGCGCGCCGTTTCCAAAAGCAATCATTACCCAAGAAATTAGTTGGATTCAATCCAAGGGAAATCTGCACCTCCCTCCCTTCCCAGTAGCCTGCAGATAAACACACCAAGCCGACTCCCTCCCCTGAGATCACCCCCTGCCCGGGTGCCTCGAGCCCCACTGTTCTGTGTCTGTCTGGCTGAGCCCTCTGACTGCCGCCCACCTCCCCATCCTTCCCGCGATCTCCCGGCCGCTTCCCGAGCGGGTGGGACTGCAATTCCCAGAATGCCCCGCGACGGCAGCCTCCGCCACGTGACCCCCCGGGCTACCCGGGCACGTGACTTGGGGAACATGGCTGCGATGACAGCTGAGCGGTTTGCGGCGCTCCAGACCCTGCTCAAGGTAAATCGGCGGGGCCGGGCAGCGTGAGCGCGCTGTCTGTCTCCGGGCGGGACTGTGGATGGAGCAGGAATCGGGAATACGGAAACCCTCGTTTCGGCCACGGCTCTGCAACTACCTTTCACTGTGGCCCTGGGCGCGTCCCTGCGCCTTCCTGAACTTTTCCCAGCAGGACCGGAGCGCTGGGAACAGAGGCGATCACGAGCATAAAGGAGCCCGCTCACTGCACTCGAGTGGACGCGGACTCTTAGCCACGCCCTAGGTGAGGGTGGAGTGACCCCCCTGTAACTGCCAGGGGAGTGGAAAGCCTCCTCTTTGGCCCGCGGGGAGCGCTCCACGTTCGAGCAGCACGCTCCCCGGGCCCTTGTCGTTAGGTTCGCGTTCCTCCGGGCCTTGATACAGAATTTGCTAGGTCTGCCTTGCCAGTTCCGCGTTTTAGCGCGCAGCCCCTTTGAGAAGCTCTCTTTGTGGGGTGTGCGTCCCGTGCGCTCAGGAGGCCCGCACTATCTGTGCTCGCTTTGACCGCCTAAGGGCCCAAGCACTCACCTGAGCATTGTGCAGGAGACGGTGGCGTTCAAACGGACTTAGTCAAGATCAAATTAAATGACGGATTGGAATTATTTGCTAATGCCGGACTGCTTTCCTCTCTGAACAGATGTTTCTTGCCCTTCATGGAAGTTGCCCTTAGCTGGCATTATGTCTTGTTGCCTGTCAGTCTCCCAAGAAGGTAAAATGTATTTACTAAAAGGGCTGAATTTTCCCCCCACGGAGGCCTGGTGGCGGAGTGGTTCCACGGTTAACTGCGATCCGCAAAACTGTAGTTGGAAACCAGCGCCGCTGCTCCAGAG